AACCTTCCCGCACTTTGGGGACTCTTGTCCCAAGTCTTTAATTAAGTTCCACTTTCAGCCCCAACGGGTGCTCCGGCAGACCGTTCTCCAGTCAGGTGTTTGAAAACTCTGCAAACTTCTGCTCGGAGAAATGTCTTAGTAATCTGTGTCTTCAGGTGGGAGAGAACAAAGCGTGTCAGGAAGGACAAGAGACAATATGTTTCATTCTTTCTTAAATTAAATTTGAGGGGTAGGGGTTATTTTTTGGTGGGGGGGGGTTAAGGAGGAAACGTCATGTTTGAATGTTTTTATTCTACACAAAATGAGAAAGCTCTCACTGGTTGATTTTTCTAGTGAAATAAGACTTCCAGATTCTGACTCAATCTACATGATGCTTCTCCATCAATAGCATTAGTTCCTGAAATATTTGTGCACAAGACATCCCTCTCATATGCACTTTTTGCAACAGAGAATAACCAAAGGAGCACAGTCTGGTCAGATAGGCATCTCTGAATTTGTCGGATGCAAATAGTAGTAGAAGAACAGTTCCAGAGGCCTCAGATTTGAACAAATTGCACACATATGAGTGGCATCTATTCCTTGATTGTAGACCACAGAATCAGGTGTTTATCTGAGTCTGCCCGTATATTAGTCTAATATGTATGAGATTTATCTGTCCCTCTCCTTAGTTCTTTGCAAAAATCTCTTTAAATTCTGCTAATCAACACAGAGTCTAGGCTGGTAGTTTTAATAGACCCTCACCTACAAGGGGACCACAATGGACCCCCATGTCGGCCCCCCTGCCCCTGGCAGGAAAGAGGACCGAGGTCAGATGACCCCAGCCAGGTGAATATCAAGCCTCCTCTTGAAGACCTCCAAGTTACGTGATATCACTACCTCTCTTGGAAGCCCATTCCAGATTCTGGCCACCCTTACTGTAAAAAATGTCATCATAACGTCTAACCTGGATCTATTCTCCACTACTTTGCACCCATTATTCCTAGTTACTCCTCGGGGCTCTGGTAAATCGCACCTCTCCAATTCCCTGTTGTCCTCCCTTGATAAACTTTAGTGGTTACAAGGTCTCCCCTCAGCCGTCTCTTGTGAAGGCTGAAGAGATCCAGATCTCTCAACCTCATCACGTAGGGTCTTTCACAGAGGCTGCTAATCATGGGAGTGGCCCAACTCTGAACCCTTCCATATTCTCCATGTCCCTGTTGAAGTGTGGCACCTAAAACTGGGCACAGTACTCCAATTGCAGTCTGACCAATGCCACATAGGGAGGGTTCGGCACCTCCCTCGATCTGTTGGTCATGCATCTGCTAATAAACGAAAAGTTGTGATTGGCCTTGTTGATGGCCTCATTACACTGACAGCTCATGTTTATCTTGGAGGCAACTATGACTCCAAGATCCCTCTCAGCCGCTGAGCTGCTGAGGAGGTCATCCCCCAACTTATAGGTGTGCTGGGGATTCCTCCTCCCTAGGTGGAGTACCTTCATTTATCTTTGTTGAATTGCATCCTATTTTGTTCTGCCCATTGATCCAACCTGTCCAGCTCGGCCTGTATCAGCTCCCAGCCCTCCGGTGTGTTAACTTTCCCCATAACTTGGTATCATTTGCGAACATGGAGAGGGTGTTCTCCACACCCGTGTCCAAATCACTGATGAAGATATTAAATAACATCGGCCCAAGAACTGAACCCTGCGGGATACTACTGCCCACCTTCTTCCAAGCCAAGAACGACCTGTCCACCACTGCCTTCTGGGTGCAAGTCCCTAAGCCAGTTGCCCACCCACCTGACTGTGTAAGCATCCACGCCACAGCCTGCAAGCTTCCCTATGAGAATAGGATGCAAAATTGTGTTGAAGAAATTCTTAAAATCCATGTATATGATATCAGCCTCAGCTCCTGTGTCAAGGCAGTGTGTGACCTGGTCATAAAAGGCTATAGGGTCACATGGATAACTATTTGTGAGGGACGGGGACTTTCCCCACCAGAATGGCATACTT